TCCTTGATAATGCTGACCGCAATGACATGCAGTTTCATGTGTTTTTGTCATACGCTTTTGATGTATGGCTCCGTTGATGTGGCACTCGTCCGCCGCACGCGGTCCGCGGAATCGTCACGCACCGCCCGCCGCGTGCCGGCCGAAGATCGCCGTGCAGTGTTCCTCAAAAAGCGCCGCTGCTCCGAAGTCAGAAACGCTACAAACATTTGTTTGGTGTTTAAACACGTGCAACGAATGCCCCATAGGCTACAGAAAGCTTTGGTGCGATTGTACGACGTGCGGGAGAGGCATCCCCTGAAAATCGTAACGGGATCCGCGTCGGTCCATTGTATCGCGGCGAGGCTTAAGCTATTTGTTTACAGCGCTATCCCACAACCAAGGCTGTAACACGATGGCTGGTTCTTCAAGATGTTTCTTCTCGCTATAGCGCCATGCAAACATTTGTATTTTCTCGTTTTTTGCAAAATGTTTGTTTATGCGAAGTAAAAGCAAATACCGCGGTACGTCTGCTTGGTTTTGGCATGCCATGTTATTTGGTGCTGAAGCTGCAGGTGATCTGTTGAGGTGTTGTTAAGCTTTTTGCTAAGAATAAGTTGGCAAACGACTTATCAGCGAGCATGTCCGGAAAACACGCTCACACACAAGCTCCAGGCGTCCCTCGCAAATAATTTCGTTTAGCACACCACATCCTGATGAACTTGTCGCCATTCCATCGTTACCGCTGCTTCAAACGGGATACCGTCTTCAGTTACGACCTTGGCAATGCGCCATAACAGTTGTCACAGGTCGCAGAGTTCACTGAGCCCCCGGGCAGCGGCGAGAACCCGGCTTTTCCGCTGGGTGCTGCTCCGACACGACCAGCGATCCGACCCGCCAGCAGTCGCTGGGCATATGTTCCGCCTGGCTGCTGACGTTGGCCAGCGCCGACAGACTCTGATCTGTTGGCGGAGTTGAAACTGTCGGCTGGCTTCTCGCAGCGATTGCTGCCGACAGATCGTGACGTGCACAGATTGCCCGGCCGTCGGCAGCCAAACGGCGCGAAGCTGGATTCTCTCGGGGATTTTCTAAAATGACGGCCGCATTTTCATTATTTCCGGCTGTCTTCTCGGCGCTATAACCCACATCGCCGCACCGCTAGTCCATTTTGTGTGAGATCTAGTGGCTAACCAGGAGGTCATTGGGTATATCGGCTAAATACCGTGGAAAACGCAGACGACCCACGCATTGACCGGTGACTGGAAGCAATTACCGACGACGACCAAGCCATTTCTGAGGAGCCTCGGACCGGTCGGCGAGAGAGCGATGGTGGCCGCTGACTGGTTCTGATGACTTGATAGATCAGAGATACTCCGCCGGGAATCCAGCTTAGTCCTGTCCATTGATAAAGGGCGCACGGGAGGTCGTTAGCGCGCATGCGCCGCCGGTGGCCGACCTTGGTTTGTGATGTGTGAAGGGGTTACCCAGCGCAGGGATGAACCGAGCAAAAATATTAATAGGATTTCGCCGAAACTCAACCACATGACATCTGCTTAGCCCCATCCGGTCAACACTTGTAGGAAATAACAACAAATAACTCCGTCCCTCTGACTCCCCGTCCCCACTGCTCCTGGGTGCGCCCTTGCCATGACCGACCAGCTGACCCAGCGGCTCGGCGAACGTACGCAGAGCCTCACGGGTGGCGCGTGGGATGCGGCCTTCCCGACCGCGCGGGAGGCGCCCGTTTCGTGTGACCCCGGCTGACCTTGGTGACCCGGCCGACCCGGCGCCGCGGGCGGACGCACGCGCGCCGACCGGCCTCACTTTCCTTTCTGGAGCAGTGACCTCAATAGCTTGTGCGCCAACGCGCGTGGCTCGGGGACGATAGGGAAGCGTGCGGGCGCGGCCCGCTGCGATATGGCAGCCCGTGCCTGGGCGGCCCGCTGCCGATATGGCAGCCCAACCGGCACGGCCCGCTGCCGATATGGCAGCCCGTGCCTGCACAGCCCGCTGCCGATATGACAACCCGTGCCGATATGGCAGCCCAACCGGCACGGCCCGCTGCCGATATGGCAGCCTGTGCCGGCGCAGCCCGCTGCCGATATGACAACCCGTGCCGGTGCGACCTGTTGCCGATATGGCAGCCCATCTGCACAACGCGGCCTACGATGCGGCAGTCCATTGGACACAGCTGTGTAGTTACGCGGTTGTTTGGCAGATCTGAGGTAGCGGAGCGCGTGAATATGCTCATTCATTGGCGGCATGGCACCTCTCCATCACGCATGTCGAACTGGAATCGGTGTCAGTAGAGCGCGTTTTCTGCGCACAATACGCACAAGGCGCGTGTTTGTGCCTTGGACTGCTCTCCTGAACACTCACTCAAGGGCAATGTTGACCCCAATTTCCCGTGGCTTGACAAGAGATGAGCGATTTCACAGCTTGGCACTGGGAGTCCGTGACTTTCTGCTCTCCCATGACCGTCGTGTTGTGATGACGCCAAGTGGCAGAAATAGCGGAATGAGTGTCTGCGCTGGCGCTGGCAGCCCAGCCACCTAAACATGCCGCTTATTTAGAGCTCCAGTCGGCCTCGTCAGAGACGTCATATTTGTGGGCGGGGCGGGTTGTATGAGCCTCTAGCTGGTGTGATCTGTGCTGAAGTAATTATGCTTCAAGTTTGTGTCGTAGGGTTTTACTGCGAAAATATGCCTGTTCTTACCGCTGACGTTTGCTGTGAAAATATGTCGGTTCCAACAGCTAAATCTCTCAGCGTTTCGCTGCTGACGGTTTCTCGACGGAATCCTTAAAAGCTATTCCCATCCTGTGAACCAAAAGCTATAAACCATCGGAAGTTAAGGGAATAAAAAGGACAGTGAACCTTTAGGATGCTACCACGGACGTTGGATACCGAGAAGCTGGCTTGCGCGCATGCTCGTCCCTTTTGAGATTATTCAGCCCTTCCCTTAATGACCGCTAAGCGAAGACTGCCACCTGGCGGCTTTAACAATAGTCGCAGGTAAGCGCGACCTCCGCTCCACTAGTACTTGCCGCTTCCAATAGATGGCAGGAGCGTGCCGGCCGGCTCGTGGGTTGGTGGCAGTCCAGATTGTGCTGATCGCTGGCCCGGCCGGTGACAGCTGCCGGCAGCATAGCAGCATGGACGACGCCAAAATGTTACGGTGGTTTCAGATTTCATTCTCGGCTGACGAATAATATTTCCAACCGACATGCTCGAGCTATGTCGTCTTGATTGACGTGGTATCAAAGGGAGTGCGATTCGAAGGAAGTTAACCGGGCACAGCGCAGTGCAGAGACGGCACCGTGGATTCACTCTCGTTGACACGTTCTGTCCATCCCCCCATTTCCAAGTTAGCCCGACCTGCACAATTTCGTGAACTCTGAACATGACCCCGACCCGCTGACGGTGTGTGACCTCTGGCCTCAGTCAGCGTGACGTCATCAGCGGGGGTCGGCGGAGGGCGTGTGGTCCAGGCTCCGTTTTCAACCCTCTCCCGTCTGGCTCTGCTCTCGTAGCCTCCACGGGTCGCCGTCACCGGGCGGTCGCTCCGCTCAAGGAACCGCGCTGTTCTTAGGTTGTAATGCGTGTGCCGTCATTGAGCAGTGGCTCATTTGCCACGCTTGCGTTGCGAAGGTAAATACGAGGCTGCTGTGTGAGAACAATCAAGTGAAATCGGCATTCCTGCATGAAACAGCAAAATACGTAGCGTGCAGACGTTAAGTGCCGATACAACGATGAGACATAAAAATTCCGGTCCAAATGCTGTTGCGCATGCACAGTAGCAACTTCCATAACCAACACACGTCACCCAGTCGCCCACCAAGATCGCATTAGGTGTCATTCCCTCGAGCGTAGCTTTACCTGATCCATCTGTCGTCTGCGCGTCCCCGGCCGTCTGTCCGTCAGCCGTCGGCGCGGACACCACACGTTGCGGCGGCGTTCAGCAGCTCCGGGACGCGCGGCGCTCGGTTCGGTCGCGTCGATCTCGCCGGGGTGCTTCCTGTCACTTCGATTTCTGCCGCGTCGATGGCGGTCGGAAATGACGGTTGGCGCTATCGTCGCCTTCGACGAGGCCGCTGGATGCCACGTGTCGGAGGCCCCCTGGGAGGGCATTCGGCTCTGATGTCCTCGAGCTCCTTCCTCTCCCCTCTCCTCTCCTCCCGCTGCGGAGATGAGATTGGATGCGTCCGGAAAAATCCAGTTATGCGGGCGTAAGCCTAGCCCTGCGTTCGTGTCATTTGGTCATCGTCCCTGCATCGACAGCTCCCACGTCATCCACCAATCGAACTGGGCGTCAGATATTTGCACCCAAATATGACGTGCAATATGACGTGCAATATGACGTGCAATATGACGTGCAATTGCAGACAGAAAGAGCACGCATGGACAGTTTGCATAGGCCGTAATGGGATGGCAAGTGCTGTCTGATGGCCACGGGGCATGAGCGGTGGCGAGTCGCCTTGCGTGTCGCTTGGTCTTGCAGTGTGGAAACGCTTCTTCAAATGCTTGTGCAGTTGAAATGTCACGCTTCGCTTCGTGCCTCGCATGTCACCAGCTTGCTGCGCACATTTCACCCCGATACCATGCCGCGGTGTTTTGGCGAAAGCCCGTTCTTTTCGATCAGTTTCCGCATGTCAGCCCAAATTTGGCGCGGTTCAGGACTGATCTCATCACCGGTGAGCCTTGAGGGGTCGTTTTGGAGCTCATAATTTCTTAGAAGGCTCATTGGTGTCGTGTGCTCGGCATAGCGGTACATTTCACAGCTGGTAACTTCGGAATGCTGAAGCCGAGAAAAGTTCAAAAGACGTGTTTTTCACATCACGTATCATTCACAACGCAGTTCTTGCAATCTAGGCAAGTTCTTTCCTCGTTCCCATTTCACGATCCATGCAATTTTTTGTTGTTGTCTCCCTCACGCCATCGCAGTCAGCCACCTGGGGTGCCTATGCTTTTGTCCGGGCGTGTGCGTGTGTGTGCCTCCTCTGCAGCACGGGCGCCCCCTTTCCAGATGTGAGCCGGCGGGCGTGACCTCAGCCGGGTCAGAGGCCGTCGCCATGGAGACGACCCCGGCCAACAACAACAACCTGGCCAATCAGGAGGAGCTGAAGCTGCTGGCGCGACTGGAGGCGGCCAACAGGTGAGACGGCAACACCTCCCCCGTGTGGACGCGGACGCTGCTGCCTGCTGGTGGCGATGTCGGCAGCGCCGCTTCGACCACGCCATTATGGGCTTCGTGGGGGCGCACCTAGAAAAATCAGTGGACGGGCAGCATGCCTTTCACCAGGGCTTTGTGCATGGGTTTTTGGCGGCACTTTTGTCAGTGATGTCAGTCATGTATTGCGTCGTTGGACACCTAGGAATATCATGGCCGTCCACGTTAGCTAATGCCAGAAAGGACGGTCGATAAGATGCCCGGTTTCAGTAATCATGATGCCTGATATGCATACATTTTTACCGGGCGACAAACCCAAGGTGTGGATGGGAAAAGTTTGCATTCTGAGAACGTGCAACATCTTCATGACACCAGCATTCGGCGGCGCCGCAGGTCGTGAGAACACGTTATCACAGCTACCTGCTTTATGCACGCGCGTTGAGAGGAGTCATTGAAAACTGTAGCACTATAATGATGGAATTTCCCAACTGGGTTGCAGTTTTCTGTCTTTCATGGTCACGTCCAGAGCTGGTACTATGGGCAAACGGAGGCCTGTGCGACTGGATGTACCGCCGATATGGTCAGCCCAAGTTGTGGCGTTGTTTTAATTTTCACAACGGTTATTGTGCCATGACGAATATAGTTATGGATAGGTTGTTTGAATTTATGAGTTACCTCAAATGAAATGCATAGCGATAGTTGAACTGGAATACCGGCCGAACATTGTTTTCTCAAAGTATATTTGATTTCAAATTCAACTCAAGTACCGAGCAAGACAGTCGAGCATTTTCTCCAGGCGAAGGTTTGTGACTTCTAGGTGTGGAAGATTCGCCACCAAACTATGGCCGACGTCCAACCATTCTCATTGATTTCTTAATGAGACATCCGACTGCATACCGATAAACCTTATTTGTCGCAAGTTGTCTTGCCCAATAACTCGTAAGCTTCCGTTCCGGAGTCTGCGCCTGCCAACGACGCTTCCGTTGCTTTCGTGCTAACCTCGATACCACCGATGTAGAAATCAGATATCAGTCTCCTATTTCTATTCAATGATACTGGATCCTCATTGATCAACATTGGCCCTATCCCGGCGCCAGCGTGCAGCGCAATCGGCGGCGTCTGCGGTTAACAGCTGCCTCGGGGGTGTTGCTGCAGCCGTAATTGGATCGGGCCTGCATTGTATCGCTTCAACAATAGCCGGCGCTTTCAAAGCTTGCTTAATTGAAGGCTTTTGTATCTAGACTGGCCTTGGTCGTTTGATGCCCACCGCCAGCAAAACCATGCATCAGCGCATGCTTAAGATCCCGACACCGGGTCTGTGTAACCGGTTCTTTATTGGTACCAGAGATGTCGCACCGCATCTCCTGTGTGCGGATGCGCACGCCTTATTTTACCTGAGAGACATCTGTGAGCGCTCTCGGGACACGGTACGCGCACTCGGCTGGGCGGCCGCGGATCGACAGTTCACAATTACTGCCTGGCAGGAGACCTGGCCGTTCCCGGCGTTCGTCCCCCGCCCCCTCCCCCGTCTCCCGTCAGCTAACAAATGCGTGCTCTGCTGACTCCAGTAGCGGGTCGTAAAGGCTGAGAGCCCTCCCCACTTCACCGCTTAGTCACTGTAGCCGAGTACCCGCCGGCAGCGCCCAGCTGTTTCCCCGGTGACCACTGAGGTCTGATTGGCGCTTTAGATACACGGTCGGAAAACGTCCACCAGATGGCAGCTCGGTCGCCGGGCCGTCCGCCGCCCTTTGTCGAACCGCTCCTTATCATCCAGCACTGCTGCCCCCCGGGCAGTTGTGTGAAAAGTTACGACGCGTGCGGGAGATGTGCTGAGGCGGCTTTATGGCCCAGTAAAGTCGGCTAACAATGCGGCTATCGCGTGGTCGGCGAACAGCTCCCGGTGGTCGGCGCTGGACGCCCCGGCTGGTGTTGTCGGGTAACAGCTCCCGGTGGTCGGCGCTGGACGCCCCGGCTGGTGTTGTCGGCTAACACCTCCCGGTGGTCGGCGCTGGACGCCCCCGGCTCGCGTGGTCGGCTAACAGCTCCCGGTGACCGGCGCTGGACGCCCCCGCCTCGCGTGGTCGGCTAACAGCTCCCGGTGACCGGCGCTGGACGCCCCCGGCTCGCGTGGTCGGCTAACAGCTCCCGGTGACCGGCGCTGGACGCCCCCGGCTCGCGTGGTCGGCTAACAGCTCCCGGTGACCGGCGCTGGACGCCCCCGCCTCGCGTGGTCGGCTAACAGCTCCCGGTGACTGGCGCTGGACGCCCCCGGCTCGCGTGGTCGGCTAACACCTCCCGGTGGTCGGCGCTGGACGCCCCGGCTGGTGTGGTCGGCTAACAGCTCCCGGTGACCGGCGCTGGACGCCCCCGGCTGGTGTTGTCGGCTAACACCTCCCGGTGGTCGGCGCTGGACGCCCCCGGTTCGACGGCCGGAGCGCTCCGCCAGAACGGCGACGGTGCCGGACCCCGACTGCGGAAGATTGCGCTTGATGGGCGAAGTTTAGTTGCCTGAGTGCCTCATGGTCAGCTTGCTTATTTAAAAGTCCCAGTGACAGGGTTGCCCACGCGTAGAAAAAGTGCGGAGCGCGTTTGTTAGCACCATGTAATCTACATTTGCCTTTCCAACATTTGGCCAGAGCATGCCAGGTTTGGGTCTGAGTGACCAAATTTGCTTATCTGCACAGAACTTTTACCTGCGACTAATGACAACCCAGCAGGCGCGCCATGTCAACAACACAGAGCATGTATTCAGGTTCGTCCGCCCTCTGTCACGTGGCGGGCCACGTTCTGCACCCATGCTGGGCCGTTGGCACCGCCGCCGCCGTTGTATGTAATCACGCATGGTCACTCCTCTATCTCTGAGTCTCTGATAATCCCCTCACGTGATCGCTCAGAGTCCACTCGGCCGTTCATTTGCCCGGCCAAGCGTCTCCCGTCTTGCCCACACCCTCTCCCGGCTGAGGTGAATACCGAACGACCTTTCCTTGCTCGGATCCCCGCCGAAAGATTTGGCGATCACGTGATCAGTATTGCACCCGCTGAAATATCTCCGTCAGGACCGGAGGGGTAATCCGGCGATACCGCTGCGGAAGCCCCGCTTCTTGATACGGTGCCTGGCACAGCGCTTCCGTCTGCTATCACAGATCATGCATCAAGGGATCAGTATGCCTGCGGTTGAGAAATTTAACGGGACCGCTTAAATGGCGCCAAAAGCTGCGAAAGTGGCGCGCTCGCAGACGATTTCACGGGTAAGGTTCTCGCGACTAGCGTGCGACAGCAGTCGGGCCAGCCCGGGCAGTCGGGGCAGTCCATGCAGTCGGATATCCCGGGCAGTCGGGCAGTCGGGGCAGTCCGGGAAGTCTGGGCAGCACTGGCAGCCCAGGCAGTCGGCGCAGTCGGAGCAGTCCAGGCAGTCGGACATCCCGGGCAGTCGGGCAGTCTGGGCAGCACTGGCAGCCCAGGCAGTCGGCGCAGTCGGGGCAGTCGGGCAGCCCGGGCAGTCGGGACAGTGATGGCAGTCGGGCAATCGGCACAGTCGGGAAAGCAGTCCCAGAGCTCGCCGTCACGTGGCGTCACGGCTCCCCGCGGGCCGGGATCCGCCGTCCGTCGGCCCTCCGTGTCCCCGGGGCCGAGCGTGGGCCCGACCCGACCGCGACACGCATGCCGATGATGTCGGTCCGGTGACGTCACAGGAAGTGGCGGCCCGACGCACCCCGCCGAGCCGGTCCGGCTGCACCGCGACCCAGTTTGTCCAGGTCACACGCAGCTCGAGCTCGCTGACCCTGCACGACCCCGCCCACTCTGCTCCGATTTTTGTAAAAATGTTTAATTTCATCTTTTGGTATTCCTACTCGCTTTGTTCGCAGCCAAAGCGTAATGGTGATATCACTTTGCTGTTTTTATCGTCGTCTTTTTTGCTCCGCTGCGCCATTCCCTTGCGTTGGGCATTATTTATGGCCCATTTCCGTTCTCCCATCCGGTTTTCCGTAAGATATGCAGCAGTTTGTCGGTGCCGATCTCCATTACAAGCGACAACCCGCGGACAAACCGGCATCCCACCCGGTGACGAATCGTCACCCAGCTGGTGGCCTACGTAACACGGCCGCGCAGCGTCACAGCCCTCCAGACGTGACGCCGCGGCATGCTCGACGTGAAAGTCCGTCCCGCGCCGCGCCGCGCCACTGGACAATTGCGTCCGGGCCAACAACAGCAGGCGCATACCAATGACGCGTCTCGGGTGGGTGTCAACGGGCGAACCAGTTCATGTGCGCTGCGCCAGGGGCGGATCTAGCCACGCCGGTTAGAGGGAGCGAAGTGGAACGAAATCACGAAAGCGGATAGAAAAGTTCGGGTGTGGTGCGTTGGCCGCGATCCTTTCGCGCTAGGTCCGTCTGCCTCGCGCCCGCTTCCCGTCTCTGGGTCTGACGGCGCTGTTGTCCCACCTCGGGTGCGAGGTACTGGCTGGCAGGGGCAGGCAATAGCGGTCAGACTATTGATCACTAATAACGACGTCACTCCCGAGCTGACCGGGCCTTCCAACCGCCCAGAAACGTGCGAACTGGGCCGTGAACGACGCCTTATCGGCGTGAGGTTCTCCGGTTTGCCATGACACGAAGAACTCGCCATTGAAATGGACACCGCGCTGCTTCCGTTCACATCACCGATGTTGTCAGCCATTCATTCCATACGCTTTGTCTTCATAGCACGTCTTCAGCAGCTTTCCATATTTTCAATTCCACACATTCCGCGCCTTTCTCCGGAGCGGAGGATGTGTCCTCCACCGCGGCGGGACCGGAGCGCCGGCTGTCATGGCCGCATTATAGGCGTGTCACGGGGGACAGGCGCCGCTCGTAAACTAGAGGTCAACCGTCGGGTCGCCTCGTAAAATCAGCAGACAATGGCTGCAATGAAATCCACGCGATTGCCTCGATTAAACCGGCATTACGCTTGACCGTCGCCGAGGCCAGCGGCCGGCTGTGAGGAGC